TTAAAATTATAATCAATACGCATTGTCATTTCGCTACATTGTACAGAAGAAGAAAAAGGGCTGCTGGCATGCTCCATTCAGGAGAGCCACAGAGTCAACATGCACGACAAATTGGTCTGAAATACAAGCCGGTCAACGTTGAGTAACTACTACCCGGAAAGACCGCTAAATATGGCTGCTGCACATGCGTAATCGCATTATTCCTGTACGTGGGACCGCCGTCATATTGCTTGGTCGTCCTGTATCTGACAAAAGTACCCACCCAGCTCGAACGTAGCCTTTACACCGGCTTCAACTTGAAAAACGTCACAGCAACAACCGCTTTACTAAGCCCGTACACACCGCCGCTAGGTGTTACGCCAATGGTTTTACGGATGAATCCAGACTCTGCTAGGCACATTGTGCGATTTGTGGTGGGATTCCTGAAGACGTCGGTTTGGACGCTTTCCAGACTGCTGCGTCGGTAAGCGGAACTGTTAAATATGGCGGTGATGAGATGGTATTTTTGGTGTTTACCTTACCTGACTGTTGTAGGGCCTGGGACTTAAAAAGGGGTGTGTAATTTGGATGAAATTTTGAACATATGGTACTCCCTCTTGCAAACGTCATGGAACCGGCGATTATTTTCAACAAGATCACGCATCAGCATACCAGTCACGTCAGCAGAATGTTCAGCAACAAGGCAATGTTCAGGTCTTGGGAGCTTGGCGATTAATCTGTTCTTTGATATATAAATCAATAAGTTAAATTATTAAAGTAACGTTGACTATTTATAACGGAGTTATTCCCTTTGTATTATATTCATAACTCTTTTTTGGTCAGCCAACGCAAGATAATAGTAACAAACATAACCTTCTTACTTTTGCGAACCTTATATCACATGGCCGAGTTTGAAAGAGAAACAAGTATCGCGTGTCTTCTAAATTAAAAGTGAATTTGTCGCATCAGAGCAGAACATTTATGACGGCGTTAAAGGTCATGCTAAGTCCCACAAACAATTTACCCATGGCTAGTTTCGTTGATTATAATTCCTAATGATCCTCGAGCGAAAATAACAGCTAATTCAATGGGTGTTTAACATGATTTACGACTGTGATAATGTGTTATCTGTCAGGGCCTATTTAGTAAGTGAGCTGCATACTATCACGCACATGACATTAGGCAGCATGAACTATTGACACAGGCTCTGCAGGAAACGCGTACCTTCGAAGACACATTGGTAACTTTTTGTAAGGATTTTACTTCATCAGGACCCGTATTCATAGAAACCGTTCTTAAGATAGTCACAAGAAATAGGAGGTAGGGAGTGTAATTATTGTTAGATTATTGTATAATTATCGACTGTTTTGTTATGGGATAGTGCTTATTTTACTGTATAATTATCGACTGTTTTGTTATGGGATAGTGCCTATTTTACTGTATAATTATCGACTGTTTTGTTATGGGATAGTGCCTATTTCACTATTGCATTTCCCGGAGCCTCGCTCTGATACTGTAATGGACTGGCGGAATAAACAACAGAAACGACACGCACACAGATTTGGATGTCGTTTGATCACGACAGGGTGAACCTGTTAGATTATCAGGTTATTTAATGTAAATAACCAAACGAAATAAATGATGTATGCCGTGGATTTGTAATTTACGTTGTAACTTTAAAACCTGATGTTTTTGCTCACGAATGTGTATGTCTTAATCCTAATTTGTGTTTGAATATTTTTTTCATGTCGAATGCTTATTATTTCATCCCGCCGGTAAATCTCCGGGGGTTACAGATATGTTCAGCACTTAACTTCAGCTTTAAGCATGACAAGAGTTTAATAAAAATTGGAGCAAACCTGCAGCTGTCTTTTGTTATTGGCTGTGAGTTGTAATTGTGTGTTGTTTATTGTTGAGATCTGCGAGGTTCTGATGACTGTTTTCTTGGCGATATTCACCTCTTTAGCGGAAATGCAATATATTGATTAATCGGTTATAGATTGCATATATACCACGGCCAATGAATTAAAGCGAAATGGATTCAAAAATCGTTCGCGTGTCAACACAGTTTTTGTTCATCTTATATAAATACGGTCGCTATAGCGGGCTATGATAGGGAGATATGTTCCTCCCTTTGGCCGCGCCCAAATAACATAGCATGCGATTGAACTATCATATAACACAAATCAGCTATACGAAACTGGAACAGGCAAACGAATGTTCATAAAATAAATTCTTACTAATCCCGGCTGGTTACCTTGTGACCTTGTGTATTTACATAAGCGATTAGCATGGTACGTCTGACACTTATCCACACCCACTGTAATCTGTCAGCTCCATGGGTGGGATCTATCCAGGACTTTCACACAATACTGTATTGTTTATCATCATTCGGTCCAATGGCTCATGTATCTGCCATGTACACGTTACACGGAAATGTGTTTACAACGAGTCGGACAACCTGAAATAAGCCAATACATGGCGTTGTTAACAATTTGAACAGGCTGTATCAAAGTATGCAGTATAAAATATTAACCAATATAACAAATTTCTCTTGTGTGCTGCATAAACATTGATTGTTATCTCCAGAGATATTTTCCTGACAATGTGCGAAAAAGTTAATAGAGATGGATGTAAGTATTTCTTATGAACATTTTGTACAAATTAACCCTTTTTCGTTCTATTCTGCATACAACACGTTTGAGAAATATATGAACTTTTACAACCAAATATTCTAAATGCAATGTGGGTTTTTTTTCGCTAGGGAACTTTAAGCTCTCATTCCATGATTCACACGTGTATTCTTGATTGAGCAGATTCGAATTAATCTTTGATTGTATTTCTTTCTTTTCAAGCTTCATTTTGAAAGCCGACTTATGTTTGTTTGCATTGTTATGATTTCATAAAGCATTACACCTGAAAACAAAGCCTAAGTGTGTTTCTCCCCTACAGGAAAGAACAGGCCTGCTATATCCCTCTCCATGTCGTAAAAGCCTAATAATGTGGTGACCCTTGCTGAAAAGGAGGTTTACTTCTCTGTCTTCTGCTAAGGGGGCATTGAAGAAAACACAACCCCCCACATTGCAAACTTTGACTCCTTATATTTCTCTTTTTTTGTTCTTGTGTTTCTAGTGCCTTGCTTGGTAGTACCTCACTTTTGGCCTTAGTGCCGAGCTTTCGGCAAAGTTGGGTAGGAAATGGTTTCTGCCCTTAAGTCGGGACATAACAACTCCCTAAAAATGGTAGTTATTATTCCTTGTTTAACGTTCAGCATTAAGGATTACCGCAACAGCTGGTTTACCCGTTGTCAGTATAATGTGACCGGGTGGAATATTTTGCTTGGTGCCTTCGGCAAGGTATTTCAGTGAGGTAGCACTCTAAAACGGCGTCTGATACGCGCTATCGTATGGAGGCAATCGCATTAATATACCCTGCCGCCAGCACACATGGACACAAGCACGTATACATCACAAAACAGTGAGACACGACTTTAAATGACATTAAGTGTTAATAGGACGTTAAAGTTTAACAAATAATACCAAAAATTAACCAAAACTTAGTGTAATATCTGAAAATTACAAAAGTAAGCTATCAATTCTGATGTCAATTACATAATCAGCGTTCGTGTTAGAGAGGGGTAACACTTTTCTTAGTTTTGTTAAATGTCAAGCAATCTTTTAAAGTCTTTATTCCTATATTCGATACCGCTATTTTACTCGTCTGAAAGTCATTCACAATTAGATTATTGGTACCTGCCCTAGAATAGATTTGTGTAGTACTCAATGCTCATTGGTACAAATGAGTTGCCAATACTAAATGTTCTACAACCTGTGACCATCGTTTATTAAGTCTGTCAACTTCTTTTGCTTCAAAAAGTGAAGAAACTAGATTGTCACCAAAACTATAATTAAAATCGATGAAAGACTTTTCTAAGTTCAATACAAGCAAAGTAAAAATTTACATGGAAATCCTTGATAATTCAGAAGGGGTAGTGTTTTCTATCTGCATCATCGAACGCCATGCAAACGTAGATCAAAGTCAAGTATTATCTTACCCCATCTAATATAACAGCATGCCTGATTTGATTATATTGATCACACGACAAAGAAAAAAATACAACATTTTCCAAATATAGCTGGCACGTATAACATTTTACCATTTTACCATCAAAGGCTTATGTATTGTTGAATGGTCGTTACATGTGTCATAAGGAAAACCGGCTGCGGATTTGATTGGCTATTTTAATGATCGATGTACTATCATTACAGTTGGGGCACTGGATATGTTAAGATGTCTACGACTAAGGATGACCATGATTTGACATCTTCAGCTCTAGCGCCAGCGCGCTTTACAAAGACGAAGCGCTACCAAAATATTTTTTTACTGAGTTTGTTAATAAACCGATATTAGATTTAAAGTGTCTTTCAAGTTTGCATGTTGTCCCATGATGATGTAGAACATGATGACATTCAGAGTTTAGTTCCAAGGAACATTCACCCATTGCACGAAGTCTGTCAGGAACAGGCTCTGTGTGTACCATCAAACAGGAAGTTCCGATCGCGCATATACAGGAAGTGATATAATCAAGATGGCGTCTCTATATTTTTAATATCAGAGTTGCAGTTTGTTACAGAAAACTAAACCTAAAACATGGTTTGGTAGCGCTACTGCTGTAATAAAAACTTAGTAGATACATTTTAAATAAATTATATTATTAAATATTTTTCATATATTTCTAAATGTAATCAATTGTTTTGTTATTTATAAAATATCAAATACCTTACACAAACAAAGTAACATGCATTTTGTTATTGATTGAAATTATTAAAGGCATTGTGACGGCATCGTGTCAGGTTATATCACCTACATGGCAGTAAAATAATTCGGCGCATTCGATACCAGTATGGTGTGGACATGTTAAAAGTGACTTTCATAACATCTTAAAAGTTGATAATCCTAGAATATCTTCCTTTGACTTGATACACAACAACGGCTATTTTTTTATTCGAATATTTTTGTAGGTTCGAACCGTTACCCGGAACAACCAGTGGGACACCAGCAGTCGTATAGCCAAAAGGAATCTAGAAGTGGAGCGCAAGATTTCCAGGACAATCTTAGTCATGATTGGTGAGTGGAAATTAAACGTAATGATATAAATATGTAAAACTATAAAGAGTTTATTAGGTACTTTTTCCAAATCACTGTTTTTCAACTTATGTTTCAAAAAACATTGACAAGTATTTTTATTCTTTTGGCTGAAAGTACCACTAGCGATTCTTAAATGTACGAAATTATCATATGAGATAACTGTACCGAATATTGTAAATTCACATGTTCAAAGCTTATTGCGTATTGCAGTCTTAATCTCAGTAACGTTTTCGTTTGTTGTCGTTTGGATGTTAATTTGTTGACAAAAGCCCTCGGTTACTAGATCATACGGCAGCTTCAGGTTGGTTACTGGCATAGCGTTCTTACATATTAATCTCATTTTTGACATTATATTTCATAGTTATTATATTCTATGTAGTCAGTTTTGTAGAAGCAAAATTGACGAACAAATTCCATAAGCCGTTATGTAATAAGAAAAGAAAAACTCCTTGTTAAGGTCATAGGAGTGTATTGCTAAACGGAAATAGGAAGTACATGCCTAGTTGAAAATCCAACGTAGGGAGACAGTATCACAATTTCCGCATATTCTAATGTTTAATACTNATACGTCGTTTTCTCAAAAAATGATGACATTACTCTCACAAACCAATGACGTAACAATCAATACCCGCTCACAAGNGATTTGTTTTCTTTCTGCGATTCGGTTTTATACAGTTATTAGTCATTTCTTAGTCATTTCTGCAATACGCAAAGACGGAATATATATTTCCTGCGTATAACGAGCACTGATGACATGACCTGTTTATAGATTTTTTTAGTGACCATCTTTTGAACTACTTTCGTATAGCAACCATTTGTAATTGTAGGAGTGTTCATTGGGTCGTGGACGCCATACAGCATAGTATCGTTCTGGGCCGCCTTTGGAGTCGCTAGTGATATTCCTGTCGCTGTGGCTGGTGTCCCGCCTTACATAGCTAAGACGGCTTCCGTTTGGAACCCAATCATCTACATATGTACAAACAAACAGTTCCGAAGGTCATTCTTTAATATACTGCCTTTTGCCAACCTGCAGAGAGAATCCGAAGAAGAACAAGTAGAGTCGTGCGAAATGATGGCCGCCGGTTCAAACGAAGCCAGTGTCAGCAAAATTCAAATTCGGCCGTTGCAGCCGACAGACTGTCATATGACTCCCCAGCATGATAACCCGGATGTATCTGTAGCTCACCAGGCGAGACAATCTGTTGATAACTGCAACATAGTCCATGATGACGTCATGCAAGAAAATTGTGTAGAACAGATACATATCCCGCGACAAGTTGTAAACGAGTGTTAGATTACGCTAAGGACATGATATCACACGTGACGTGTTATGGTCATTTGACGTAAACTTTATCATGAGACTAATTCATATATTGTTATCCACCTTGATCGCATGTCTGGCTCTGATAAAAAAAAATATGTTGTTTACGTTAGGATATTAATATTTCAATATTTCGGACGTGCATGTTTGAAATTAATTTTCCTCATTGGTGATGGTGGAAACCAAAATGTTGATGTTTCAAAAGTTGGAGATGGAAGCTAAATGTACCGATATGTAAACACATGGAAGCGGGGTGAGTCAGAGATCGTCGACGAACACGTATTAATATATACTTTAGAAAAGAAACTGTGGAATGTATACAAATCAAGACGACAAATTGATAAATATATCTGCGGTGCCCAAGGTGACAACTTGTACGGTCAACTTTGTTTTATTTCGACTGACGACGACCGTGGTAGAGCTTAACGCAAAAAACCCACTCATAACGGTTCTCAATCAGAACGAGGAAAATGACAGTGTGTGATTGTAGTTCAACCAACAGCAACTATGAGACAAGAGTAACTATTACAAAAGTCCATTGTCATTTAATAACGGCCCTCCACCCAATTACATCGCTAGAAAGTGAAACCAATCCATGCTTAGTTTGGTGACCAGTGCGTTCCACGAGAGCTACAGATGCTGTGTTTGGAAATGGAACATTCTATCTTCGAAGATGTCATTGTCTCCTGTTCTATACAGTCAATACAAAATGCATAGTGTACGTAATTGGAAACAACAGTTGTAACATTTTAAAATTCAGGAAATAAATATTGTAAAAACAGCCTTTGCATTTTTAACAATATATTTGACAACTAAAGTAACTACCAATATAACTATCAATATAGCTATCAATATAACCATCAATAAAACTATCAATATAATTATCAAAGAATAAAAATTAATATAACTATAAATATAACTATCAATATAACTATCAAGATAACTATCAAAGTAACTATCAATATAACTATCAATATAAATATATATATAGTTATCAATATAACTATCAAAGAGTGAAAATCAATATAACTATCAATATAATTATCAATATAATTATCAATAAAAACTATCAAAGCAACTATCGATATAACTATCAATATAACTATCAAAGAGTAAATATCAATATAACTATAGTTTAAATCAATTTTATTGCAACAAAAGACAAATGGATTGGACAAAAGTTATTGCAACTTACTTACGTCCTTTTCGTAACAGAAAATATATATACAAAATTAATGTGTCACGTAATAACCTAATACAAATTTATATATGTATATATATATAAGATGTTAAAGATGGGTTACAGCAAAAGAGGTAATGATAGGATTAGGGACACCAACGTATAGTTTTTAAATATGTATTCGGAGAGTTTACTTGAGATCGCGTGTGTGATTTTCCCAATCGAGTCGGCGTAAGTAGTATAACTAATCTATACACACATATCCTTCTGCTTTTCTAAAGTTCAATCACATTCCGTGCCGCATTTGCCTTTCTCCTGTGTCACTCCAAGTCCTTCTGTGAATTCCTGCCTTACATACTTAGCCGACTAGATTAGGAAAACCGGACACGCACTCTCTGTCATATGGAAACGGTTATGATATTGATTGACGCTAAGATTGAAGTTAGTTCACAGAGATCGTTGGTGTTGGAAAAAGGGAGAGGGGCTGGAATAAGAGAGGAGGTGGAGGGGAGAGACAGATGGGAATAGTCGAAGTAGGTATCCCGGTTATTCAATAAGACTGTTCGGTATTACATGTTAAACCGTTTGGAGCTAAAAATGAACAGTTGTACTGACCTACAAATTTGAATGTTTAGATTGTAGTCAAGGTTTGCATCTCCGAAGAGAAGGTGTTCAACAGTGATTTCGTTATACCAGTCGATGGATTGAAGCATTATATTACGGGATTGATCATTTTTTTACATTTTAGTAAGAAATGGGAAAAGTCTTCCGAGTCATTTCCGCAGTCGCAAGTAGAGTTGTCTCGAAGGTGAGCTTTAAAAAGGTCGTAATTTAAAGAGCTACTGCGGTTTCGTAATTGGCAATGTATAATATTTACTTTTCTGGACCCATATTCAAGAAAACATTTAATATAAGAAGGGGTAGTGACTTGAGGCTGAATAAGAGTTTTAAATTGTTTAATGGATGCTGATGACTTTGTTTCTATAGATAGATTGTTCCAGTAGTCTGAAGTACTTGGTATGAAGGATGATTTTGTGATTTGCAGTCTATAGTATGGGTTCTGAAAGTTATTCCTGTTTCTAAGATTATAGTTAGAGAAGTTTGACACAATAGGTGGTAGAAGAGATTTAAGAAATGAGGGAGCATTATCATGATAAATATTATAAAACATGGATAATTTTCTAATCCTGCGTCTATCTATCAATGATTTCCATCCGAGCTCTCTGTAAATAAATTCTTTTTTTGTATAAATAGGTAATCCAGTTATTATTCGACCTGCTTCATACTGCATGTTCTCTAATTTATTCGAAAATGTGATATTACAATTGTCCCATACTTCGCAGGCATATTCAAATAGTGGTCTTATAAAAACAAGGTATATTTTTTCCAAGTTTTTTCTATTTAGGATGTATTTTAATTTCCTTAAAGTTGCAATGTACTTTGTAGTGTTTGTTAGTATATGTTCGATGTGAGAGTTCCATGTGCCGTTGTTACTAATAATGACTCCTAGGTGTTTGTGGTTTTTAACAATAGGGATAGGTGTGTTGTCGAAAAGAAATTGTGGGTTAGAAGGTATATTTGTGTTGGAAATTAAGAGAATTTCGGTTTTATTTGGGTTGAAATTCATTAACCATTTATTTGACCAAAGGTTTAATTGTTCCATGTCATAGTTTATTACTTGTTTTATATCGTGTACATTTTTGGAAGAGTGTGCTAATGCGGTGTCGTCAGCAAAAAGTCTAGTCATTGATAGTAATGTATTTGAAATATCGTTGGTGTATACAAGAAAAAGAAGTGGCCCTAACACTGAACCTTGAGGAACTCCGGCTTTGATAGTTACTTCAGAAGATATAGCATTTTTAGTACCACTGATTGACGTCTGTTACTTAAGTAGTTTTTATTCCAATCTAAAAGTTTGCCTTTTATCCCGTATTTTTCTAATTTAATTAATAGACCTTTGTGCCAGACTCGGTCGAAAGCTTTAGAAAAGTCACAAAAAACAAGAGCAGTATGTTCACGATTCTCCAGTGCTGTAAGTATGCTATGATAGAGTTCGATGAGTTGGTGAGTTGTAGAGTGATTTGGTAAGAAGCCAGACTGTAAAGTATATAGAAGTTTGTTGCTGAATAGATAGTTACAGATGAGCTTATGAATTATTCGTTCGAAAAATTTGCCAATGCAGCTAAGTAAAGAAATGGGTCTGTAGTTATTTGCCAATTCAGATTCCCCTTTTTTGAAAATAGGTGTCCCATGGGCAAGTTTCCATGAATCAGGAAATACAGAAGTACGAAAGGATTCGTTGAATAGAAGTGTGAGGGGTGCAGATATTTCATTGGATACCATTTTTAACATTTTATGACTGATGCCGTCAGGACCAGCAGCTTTATTAGTGTCTAAAATATTGATTATATCTAAAACCTCTTGTTCTGTTATTACAATTTCAGTAAGGGGCTCGTCTGTTTGGTTGTCAAATATAACTATAAATATAACTATCAATACAACGAGATGCAGGAGGAGTCAACAGACCACGCGAGAAACGATACCGAAACATCGGCAGCCGACTGACCCAGCTGAAGGAGCGCTTTGAGAACCAAACGATGGATCTGATGGAGTACGCCAATGCAGCATCACATCTCTCACATGTGGGATAGATAACAACAACAATATGTGCCTCTTGGCTATTGGACTTGAACTTTAAATTGGAGATATGATATAAATTTGAGGGGACCAATTTGAGATTGCTATTACTAAACTTTACCATTCTTAATATGTGAATATTGTTAATGTATTTGTATTGTGTGATTAGTAAATGTAATGTACAGTTTAAATTGATGGATTTAACTTCTTAACATGTTTTGAAATGTAATGTTAAAGTTAACATGTCTTACATTTGGTGGCCTAAACAGTGTAATATAAATTGATATAATTAATATGCATTGACGGTTGTATGTTTAAAAACTGTAATATAATTGAAATGTAATCATTATGTATAAGTAGTGAAATACTCGATTGTGAACTCTTATGTAGTGCTGTTATATTCTATATTATCTGTTTAAAAGAGTAATGTAAATATTTGACTGTAAACTCTACATATGTATACAAGTATAAAAATATATCGTTTATATATAAAGATATTTGAACCCCAAAAAAGTATTAAAACCTTATTTATACCCAACATATACAACAAACTACATGTCACACAGGTAACTTTCACACAGGTAAGTTACCTGTGGGGTAAGTATGAAACAGACTATAATTGGTTTGACATTGTCTTCCTAAATCAACACTTTCCTTTGTTATATAATAAGTGGGGGAAACGAGAACACCCCACTCCGGCAATGTCTATTTTTTTATGTATTATATGAAAAACTTAAATATATTTTTAATTGACTAATTATTTAATGTATAAACTGCTAGATTATCAGTGAATTATTCTGTAGTAAATGTATATAGTATTTGCAGTGCGACATAGTAGAATTCAGCCAAATTACTTGTACGTGTTAAATTGAACCAGCATTTAGATGACCCCCGGTCAAAACGTATTGATCGATGGAACCATTCTGTTCAATTGTAAATCTGAATTGTTTGACTAAACGCGACGACACCGGCCCAACAGCAGTGACATCGACAACGTGCAAGCAATGTGTACGCGTGCGCGTGTGTGCGAGGTTATGTGTGCGCGTGCGCGTGTGTGCGAGGTTATGTGTGCGCGTGCATGTATGTGTGGTTGTGTGTATGTGTTTCTGTGAATTATACAGCCATATTGAAAATGGTGATTTTTTTTATAAAGTGT